TACAACCTTTCAGTTAGCAGCTGAGTGCTTAACTGTTGTGCCACCAGCGCTCCTTATATAATAGGTAGCATAAGATTATTATAGGATTATTATACTTATTTGTTGTATATACTTCAAAAAGTATGTTGGAGGGAGAGAGATTTGGGGCAGTACTGGGGCAAGGATAACAGCCTAGAGGGATTTAGTTGTTGACCAGCAAAGAGCTAAGTGTTGATTTAACCTAGCAGAGTATCTAAAGTTTGTTTTCATATTGTGAGATAGTAAATTCTCACTGTCTATTAAAAATGTTCTTTAGAGAGCACAGAGCAGACTGTGAGGCTAACTTCTAAATCTACTAAATATGTTAAACCCATTGCCATTGAGTCAATTCTGACTCATAGCAACCCTATAGGACAGAGTAGAACTGCCCCATAGGGTTTCTAAGGAGCGGCTGGTGGATTCAAACTGCCAACCTTTTGGTTAGCAGCTGATTCCTTAACCACTGTACCACCAGGGCTTCTATTAAATATCTTAGGGTTCAGATATGCTGAACAGGTTAATCCAAATTAATTGTTGTTTTCTTCTAAAAGACTTGTAAAAATGAATTCTATGCTGCCTTCAAGTCCTCCACACACACACACAGACACTGAAAGTTGAAATTAGGCAAATACACTGGTAACTTGCAGTTGATCATACAGGAGATTTCTGAGTCGGCCGAGCGAAAATGCCTTGTTGAAAGAGATTACATTGGGATAACTTCTTCTTCCTTTGGAACTTTTCAGGGAGACAGCAGCAATAATAATAGCAGTTTACCACGTACTAGGCGATGGTCTAGCTCTTTACATTTAATTCTTGGCAACCCAATGAAATGAGTGCTATTATTGAAGTTATTTTGCATATATGAAAACCGATACACAGAGGTTAAAAATAACTTGGGCTGTTTTACATAACTAGAAAGTAGTAGAGCAGGATTTGAACTCTTACAGTCTGGCTCGAGAGTCTGTGCTCTTAACCACCATGCCCAAATGCTACAAGAGCTACACGATTATGTTATTAAAGCTAACTTCAGTAACTTGACTCTTAGAAAGTTTTGATGCTTTTCAATTCATTTGTGACATTTATCGTAATCAATCTTAAAGGATCCTATGGTACTCAACCATGAATCTCTTACCAACTTGCAAGATTCAGACAGTGAAAACTCTTTTTAACATGTAAGTGTTCACCCAATCCTAGTTAGAAAGTAGAACATATTCTTCTAGGACTTTTGTAAACAGAGTTAATATGAGAAGTTAAGAGATTTCCTTAACCATAGTATTGGTAGGAGCTCCTGAGAGCTTAATTACTCTGCAAAAGTGTAAAACTGTTTAGGGATAAATTGTGCTTTTATCCCTGAGGAGACTTATGCTTTGACAAAGTATATTCAACATTTAGTTGTTTTTTTCCTTATAAGATAGCTTAATGTTAGGAACCCAATTTACGCAGAAGATACTTTAAGCACAGAAAAGTATGTTGGCGTGCCTAAGATCTCACAGCAGTTCCAGAACCAGAAATACCCTTGTTAGAGTTTTATGCTTAGTTGATATTGCCTCGTAGTCTCTTACTTCAGAGAAAAACCAAACTGCCAGAATTTGATGTTAAATGCTTTGCAACCAAGTAGTGAGCATTAAGCGCAAAAAAGTGTTCCCATTTTCATCTGGGACCTTGTTATCTACAGCATTTCATTTAAATCATGTAGTTCCTAATTAAAATATGTTGCATCTCTCAAAGTTATTTTAAGCCCTAGAATCCCCTCATTTTTGTGTCACCAAAAAAATAGAAGTCATATGCATGGAAAATGACTCATTACTTTTCAGGTGTCTTTCCATTTTTCCTTCTCCAGCATTTCCTTATGTTTGTTTAGTGAGAACGTCATCTCCACTGCTGCTAGGAAGACAGGTAATATTGTCCACGGAGGCAGTTTTTTCAGTTTGCCTCTCAGGTGAGCCGACCTATACTAACGTTCAAAGAATAGAAACTTGAGTTTTCTGAAGTGCTTTTGTTTTCCCTTAGGCAACTGGAAGGAGTAATTAAAGAATTAGGCAATTTGACTATTATTAGCCTAGCTATTTACATAAAGCATGGTAGAACTCTAAACCTGGGTGTTTTGAACTGTTAGGAGAGTTAATATTAGCAGTTCTAATCTTAAAGCATGTATTTTTTTTTTCTTGTTTGATCATTTTGATGCTGCTGTTTCCTGGATATTTATTAAATAATTTTCGAGAAATACCCTAACATAAATAAACTTCTCTTTCTTCCTTTTATTCCCCCAGTTCTCTTCTCTGATCCTCACTGCTGCCCTCCCTCTAAGAAATGTTGGCCTGAGGGCAAGACATTCTTAGAATACACAAGCCTTGCTTCAAGAGGATGTCTGGGTTTGATGTCATGCAGGAGGACTAATTTTAGCTCTGGGGTCTTCTGCACCACATGTCTTACAAAATGCTTACCTATGAAGCATTTTTCATATTGCAGGGATTTAAAAAGATGAAACCAATTAAATTGTTATAGTGGGAAGCGGATGGGAGAGAAAAAGAAAGAGATACAAAGGTTGGGAAAGAAAGTCAACTGTGGAAAACATGGCTAGAATTTCACTGGGTTCCAATGTTAAAAGTCTGTCCTTTGATTTTGTAATATTAAGTTTTACTTAACCTGTGTAAAGGTGAAAAATGCTTAAGGGACGAATTCACCAAAGCTGAGGGGAGAAAATATTCTGTAGGGATAAAATACATTTTTTAAAATTATCACCATCATTGTCATCATTATTTCCTCTCTGCTTTTAGTAGTCATGCTTCTTTATGTCCCAATTAAGAATTGTGTCTGAGAAGTGTGATGTTCTTCAGAGTAAATTATAGTCAATTGGGTGTGCAGAGTTGCTTGTTGGCATTGCTCTGTTTTATTATAGTGTTCTTATGTTTTGGTCTCCAGTACTTCCTTGCACATACCAGATGGTGAAGACAAGTGGAGGCAAATGGGCATCCTTGGCCCTTCTCACAGGAGAGTTTGGAGAAAGGAAGCAACTACCATTGCTTATGGCTCCTTTCCCATTACCCCTCCATGGTCACACGTGTACACATGTACACCTGTGCACGTACACACACACACACACACACACACACACACACACACACCCTCCTTCTCTACCAGAGTATACTTCTCATTGCCTCCCAAACACAGATGAGAATTCCTGTCCCTGTTCCTTTGCTCAGTGCATTATTCCTCCTTGGCTAGAATGCCTGCCGCCTTCTCCCTTTTCCTGCTGACTAGTGGAAAGCCGAGAAGCTTTGTAGTAAGACAGACAGCCCTGGATTCAAATCGCAGACCTACCACTTATTTACTGTTGGATCTTAGACAGGTTACTTAACTTTACTGAGGGTCAGTTTCCTTATCTGTAGAATGAAGATTAGTAATATTTCACAAGATTTTTGTGAAGATTAAGTGGAAGATACAAAACGCTCAACAAATGGTTGCTCCTTTCTTGTAGTTTACCCTTTTATAAGTCCCACCTAGTCTTCAAAACTCAAGTTCTACCTACCCAGTGCATACTCCGAAGCACTTATCTGACAGCATGCTACCTCATTATTTTTTGTTGTATCTACTGTCTCCCCAAATTGCTTGTAAATATCTTAAATACGGAAGCTCTCTTGAAACACAGAATCCTAACTTTCTGACATAGCCTTGTTGAATTTAGTAACCTCAGCTGTGTGACAGTGTAGATTGGAAGATGGAAAGTGACTCCCTAAGACTTGCCCCTCATTCTAAATTCAGTAAGTTGGGGGTGGTTTTGAGTCCACTATGTTCTCTTGTGCAATAAGGAAAATGGCCTGACAAGTGCTTTCTTAAATTATGGAATCGTATGAATGGAATCTAAAGGGAGCCATCAGATCCAGAAAGAGACTTTTTGTACTTCCATCGCTGCATAGAGAGCTTGTTTGGGAACATGCATCTCTTTGAGATAGCATTCTCTAGAAAATGTTTGAAAATCTTTTAAAGTATGTTTGAATGTTCTGGTAAGGAAGGGCAGTTACTCTTAACCAAAGAATTGTCCTCTAATAGAAGAGTTACACTTTCCACTGAACATGCATCTTCAATAGCAGTGCGCGTGGAACATGAGGAAGAGAACATCTGATCAGCTGGAATTAACCATTGGCAGTCAAAGGAGTGACAGATGTCATAGCCAGATCACTCCCATGTCAGACACAGCATTATACCCAGTGAATGACCATCAGGTGGAGCTGGATAGTGGCTCTTTGTCCCTATTAGTACACGGTCCCTAATAGAGTCAGAACCTTTGACTCACTGGCAAAATTGTAATAGAGGTCAGTCTCACCATACATATCAGAAAGTATCAAAAGTGCTGGAATTACACTCAAGATTTGACATTTTGTGCTTGGGTAAATCTTTCATGACCAGAGCTTGTTTTCCAAAAGAGTGACAGGCATCTTTGCGATATTGCAGTTTTAAATATGGTCTTCACTCTGCTGTCACCACCCTCCCTTTATTTCTTTGGTTTTTAATTTTTTATAATCCCTTGTGTTTTGGTATATCTTTCATTTAAAGCTATGGGGCAAATTATAATTCATCAATGCCGGCGTTATTCAGGTAATGATCTGTCATTTATCCCCTTTGAAATACAAATAGAAGGAAAACTCTTTGATGATATTTTCATTTTCAAGGAAATGTTTCATAACCGTGCATTATGAATAGAACACAATCTTGGGGCTTGATCTTTGTTGTCATAGTTTTTTTCCCCAAATATTTGGTTCTTACAATGGCCTAGCAGGTGAAATTTGAACTTCAGTGCAAAAGCTTGAATCACAATAATGATCTCGCTTTGCGTTCTGCAGCTCACTGATTTTTGTGTGTTCTGCTGGAGAAAAACAGACATTGTCACCTACTTGTTCTTCTTGATATTTTGGGACTTGAACTATGAGACTACACCAAAGAGATGTTTCTAATGTGCTATATCTGTGTCTCTTGTCATTGAGGTAATTGTCATGAGAAAACCCTGGACAACAGCCATGACAAACAGAAATATTTTGACAACTCACTGTCACTGGATGCTGCTGAAGAAGAGCCCTCTGAGAGAGGAACAGAGGAGGACCCTGTACTTTCTGTTGAGAATTCAGGGAGGGACTCAGATGCCCTTAGACTTGAAAGTAAGTTGATTTGACCTGAGCTGTGCTTCTGGGGAAAAATCAACTCTCAAGCTTTAAGCTTAGGCTTTCTTTACTTTCAAGAGTTTCCTTCCTTCTTTTAACAGTCCCTCATTATACTGTGGAATCACAAGGGTGATCCTCAGATGGCAAGGTGGAAGATAAGTTATAATGTGAAAGTGCTCTTCACACTTCCTTTTTCCTCTACCTCAATATCTTATTTTGCTGGAACTTGATTCATTTATGTACCAGTCTTCTTAATGTCATTAGTCTATTGAGTAAGTCATTGAAAATGACTCCCAACTATCTGCCTTTTTTGTTTTTTTTTTGAATGATTTACTAAAATTTGAAGAGTTGATCCTTTTCTAAGATTCCGTTTTATGGCCACATTTTGAGCTATACTGTGCTGAACAGTTCTTGATAACATCAATCAATTCATAATTGTCAAAACAAATGACTTCTTTTTAGTACTCATCCTACTTAACCAGTTTACTGCATTTGGAACTATGGGCAACTCCCTACTTCTTGAAACCCTCTCCTCCTACTCTTGGCTTCTCAGTAGTCACTTCTTCTATGCCCTCCTCCTATCCTCAGACTATCTTTTAAAATTTCCTTCTCTGCTTCTGTTTTCTGCCCCATATTTGTTGGGCTCCCCAAGATCCTGACCTTGGTCTTCTTTGCTTATCCTTCTGCATGTTATCTCTTGGTGATTCAGCTACCATAAAGTACACCAGTGACTCCAAATCTATGTTTTCAGCCAAGACATTCTCTATAACTCCAGATCGTATTTCCACTTGTCTAGTTCTTTATCTGGATTTGCCACAGGTACTTAGCGTATCCAAAATTGAACTTGTCCTCACTTTCACTCTGTTTCTTGAAATGCTTCTAGTTTTTATATCCCTGATCTCTGTTACTGGCATCACAACTCACCCAGGCACTCCTTATTCAATCAGCCCCCAAGACTCATTGAATCTATCATCTCTTTCTCTACTCCCGCTGCCACTGCCTGAATTCATACTTTCTTCATTTCTGCCTGGAGTATTACAGTAACCTCTTCTTAATTAGATTCCCTGTATCTAGTCTTTTACTCCAGTCTAGGTAGGTAATACATGTAACTGGTACAAAATTCAAAAAGAAGAAGGAAGCACTATTACCAGAAGCAACCACTGATACCAGTTTCTTATGTGTCCTTCAAAGAATTGTTTCTGAAATACAGATCTTATCAGGTAAGTTTAAATTTCTCAATGGTTCTGTTACTCATAGGAAAAGTCCAAATGTCTTAGCTTGGGATATGAGGCATTTTAGTTCCAGACTCCGTCTCCAAAAATACCACCTCAAAGGTGGTATTACTAGTACCCTGCATAAGGAACCCTGGTGGTGCAGTGGTTAAGTGGTCAGCTGCTAACTGAAAGATTGGCAGTTCGACCCCACCATCCACTCCATGGGAGAAAAGACCTGGAGATCTGCTCCCATAAAGATTACAGCCTAGGGAGGCGTGGTCAACATGGCGGACTAGTTAGACGCTTCCTATATCCTTCTTACAACAAAGACCTGGAAAAACAAGTGATTTGATTCTATGTGAACATCTGGCAGCCCTGAACAAGGCAAGGTAAAGAAATCCATCTGAGTCATACCAGAGAGGAAGACCGTTTGGAAGAGGTGAGGAGCACTAGAGCTGCGGCGGCGGCACAGCAGAGACACAGCCACGCCGGGCCGCGGTGAAGCAGGCAAACAGCTGTGCTGTGCATGTGCTCGAGAAGCAGTTTCCACATCGAGAGAGACCCGACAGCAGAGATTCTGCTTGGACATTCCGAACCAGTGAAGAGCAGCTCCCAAAAGGCTAGGATAAGTACATGCGCACACCCTTTCGCGTCGAGTTAAATAAAATTTTTTAAAAAAGCCCATTTGGGAAAAACCTCTCTCCCTTTTACCTCCTACCTCTGCACCTGCACTGGATTTGGGAAAAACCTCTCTCCCTTTTACCACTTCCCTCCCCGCTCTCAACGGGAGTCTACTGGGCCGGAAATAGATCCCAAAAGGTGACCTGACCCATTCTCCTGGCCTTGGAGAGGGAATAAATAAGCTGCTGGCTCCACCAGGCCAGGAACATAGGGTCGGCACAACTCCTTTGCTGGCTATAGAAAAGCGGGTCCGCAGACTCTGAGTGCCATACACCCCTGTATAGACTTGTGGCGACCCATCTCAACAGCGTTAGCCCTCACTACCACAGTACAACAGGGCAAACATCTGAAGTGTAACTTCAACTGCTTCAGCTGTGAACGGGCAGATTTGTGATCCTTGAAACAGCCCTGCCCCTCAACTAGGCACTTTTATCAATCTGCAGCAGGGTCTTAAGGACTGGTGATAGTTCCTAAAGTGCCTAGTCACCTGCTTCAGGAGTTCAAGAGAAAGTGGTGCCCTCGAGTCTTTGCAGCCAACATACTGGTGTGCTCTTAGCCCGGTTGCAAAACTCACCTACCTCTTCACCCTAGAGAATAGGGACACGCTTTTCTTTCAGACTCTCAGGGGCAGCGCTCGGCCCCCTGCCTGGCTCAGCGTGTGATCCCCTACCACAGCCAGAGTCCAGTGCCTGCACCAATCACCCATGCCTGTCTAGGACTGGGGGTGAGAGCCTGCATCACACACTTGGAGATCGACTGCCTGCATACCCTAGCTGATCCCATATAGGAAATTTTAATGAACTCCGGCATGGACATACTTAGTTACAGAACCAACTACCTGGTGACAGGACATTAGAGATCAAAAGGTGTCAAAAATCAAACTAGTGCACATGAGCAGCCTATTTGGGCATATCAAAAGAAAATAAGAAGCTAGGTCTCACTAAGCAAACACAAAATAAAATTATAATAGATTATTGATGGCTCGGAGACAACAGTCAATATCAAGTCACATAAAGAGG